GACGGGGTTTCACCGGGTTAGCCAGGATGGTCTCGATCTCCTGACCTCGTGATCCGCCCGTCTCGGCCTCCCAAAGTGCTGAGATTACAGGCTTGAGCCACCGCGCCCGGCTATTTTCACTTTTTAAAAATAATATTTGTTTCTTTATTGTTTGTGTATTTTAATCATTACATAAGTACAATGTATACTAAGTTGTAAGCATTATGCAATTTTATTTTATTTTTTACTTAATTATTCTTTTAATGTTATTTTTGTCCTTTCTTTCTGATGGAATTTAAAAGCGTGCAATCCTTTTTTAACTTTCATTTTAGGTTCAAGAGTGCGTTTGCAGGTTGTTTATTTAGCTACATTCATGTCACAGGGGTTTGTTGTACAGATTATTTCACCAGTCAACTACTAAGCTAGTATCCAATGGTTATTTTTTCTGATCCTCTTTCTTCCCACCCTTCATCCTCAGGTAGGCCCCAGTGTCTGTTGTCCTTGAATTCTCATACTTAACTCCTACTTATAAGTGAGAACATACAGTATTTCTTTTTGTTCCTGTGTGAGTTTGCTAAGGATAGTGGCCTTTAGCTTTATTCATGTTCCCACAAAAGACACGAGTATGTTCTTTTCTATGGCTCCATACTATTCTGTGGTGTATGTGTACCACATTTTCTTTATCTAGTCTGTCATTGATGGGCATTTAGGTTGATTACATGTCTTTTGTATTGTGTATAGCACTGCAGTGAACATTCATATGCATATGTCTTTATGGTAGAATGATTTATATTCCTTTGGGTATACACCCAGCAATGGGATTGGAAGAGCATACAGTTTTATAACTGCAAGAAGAATATATGCCAATTTCATTGTCATTCTTACCATATAGTTTAGTTTAAGGCTTTAGAAATGCCCTAAAAGTTATACGCTTAAGATTTAATTAAATGAAACTGGTTTTCTGCTCCATTTTTTTCTATTATGCACTTTTTAAAGTTTTTAAAATTGAAAAACTGTTTTGTTTTTGTTTTTGTTTTTTGAGATGGAGTCTCGCTCTGTCACCCAGGCTGGAGTGCCGTGTCACGATCTCGGCTCACTGTAACCTCAGCCTCCTGGGATCAAGCAATTCTCCTGCCACTACGCCAGGCTATTTTTTGTACTTTTAGTAGAGATGGAGTTTCACCATGTTGGTCAGGGTGGTCTTGAACTTCTGACCTCATGATCCCTCCCAAGGTGTTGGGATTACAGTCGTGAGCCACCACACCTTGCCAAGAAACTGCTTTTATATAAAATATATATTGTTTTTCAATCCTCAGAAAATTATATCAGTCTCATTTTAGATATAAAGCAGCTGAATTCCTATTCTAATTTTCATTTGTGATATGGAACAAATCCAGGATTTAAAACCCAGATTTAAAAACCAGGTTCTTTCCAGGCTCAGTGCCTCACACCTGTAATCCCAGCACTTCGGGAGGGTAGATAACTTGGGGTCAGGAGTTTGAGACCAGCCTGGCCAACCTGGTGAAACCCGTCTCTACTAAAAATACAAAAATTAGCTGGGCATGGTGGCGCACACCTGTAATCCCAGCTGCTCAGGGATCTGAAGCAGCAGAAGCGATTGAACTTGGGCGGCGGAGGTTGCAGTGAGCCAAGATTGTGCCATTGCAATCCACCCTTGGTGACAGGGCTAGACCCCATCTCAAAAAAAAAAGAAACAAAAAAAACAAAAAACAAAAAAAAAGAAAAACCCAGGTTCTTTATTTCCCTATCTCAGACATCTCCAAATCAAACAATATTGTGGATATTTTAGATCTGTATAGTTTATTCCCATTTATTTGGAATTGCAATCATGACCAATATTTTTGCTAAAAATTTGGTTATAATAAAGTATAGTTAGCCCTGGTCCCCTAGTCAGATTTCTTGAAAAAACAAAAGTTACCTTTTATTGTTAACATTAAACTACTTTAAATAAGTAATATAATAGATAAGTGTTATAACCGGGTCTTTAGCCATCCAACCTTCTAAAACTATATAAACCTGAAATGTTGTGTCTAAGGTGTTGTAATGCTTCATCAGTTCACTCTCTTGTAATTCCAATCTTACAGTCGTACCTGTACATGTCAAGGAATTGATCCAGAGACTTGTGGAGCTTCATTCTCTTTTGGCTGTTCATGGAGTATGTACTTTAATGGTTGTAAGTTTGGTAGAAGCCCAAGCCCCAGGAGATTTAGAATTGATCCAAGCTCTCCCTTACATGTAAGTGTTCTTTTTTATTCAAATAATTTATTTTTGAATTACACATTGAATATTTAAGTGCATTCCTTTAACATTTTCTGAAACACTATAACAACTAAATATTGAAAAGTAGTAATCAAATAGTAAAATTATATTTCTATTATATAAGTAAATAAATTAATTAAGACTCTAAACAAATTAGGTAAAGACTTTAGCTATCACCCCAAATTCCAATTGTCCCTGGCTTCCTCCTCCTGCTCTACTACCCCACCCCAGCAAAATCATCATTAAAAGAACCTAGAATTTTATACTCAACCAAAATAGGAAAAACCCATTTGCCAAAATTTCAAAGACTCAGAAAGTTTACTACCCACAGACCTACTATGAAAGAATTACTAAAGGACGTAATCCAGAAAGAAGATATATGAAACCGGAACGAATCAGTCCGGGACACGAGGCCATGGTGAGCAAAGAAATTAGTCAAACTTGGTGTTAAGTTAAATAAGTTCAATACTTATATATTTTAAATAAAAATAACCTATAACTCCATAAGCCTTTATCAGCTTGTGGGTGGGTAGGCAGTGGGAGGGGGTGGGGCACCAATAGGAACTAAGTATTCTAATGTGTTATGCTTTGTTTGTGTAGTGAGGATTTATATATTGATTAACTATAAGACTGATATCTTTTAATCTTTGAGTAGTGACCAAGAGTAAAAAAAAATTTTATATTACAAGCCACTATACACATACATAGACATAAGGAAATAATTAGACCTATCTGAAAACAATACTTCCTTTCTTACATGTAACAACAGTAACATTAAAATATTTAAAAGGTTAATATCATTGTAGTTACTCTAAGAGTCTCTATGATGCATTTTTTATCAGATTTTTTTATTTTTATTTATTTATTTATTTATTTATTTTGAGACAGAGTTTCACTCTTGTTGCCCAGACTGGAGTGCAAAGGCATGATCTCGGCTCACTGCAATCTCCACTTCCTAGGTTCAAGCAGTTCTCCTGCCTCAGTCTCCCAAATAGCTGAGATTACAGGCATGCACCACCATCATGCCCAGCAAATTTAGTATTTTTGGTAGAGATGAGGTTTCACCATGTTGGCCAGGCTAGTCTTGAACTCTGGATCTCAGGTGAGATCTGTAGTCCCAGCTACTAAGGAGGCTGAGGTGGGAGGTTGTCTTGAGCCAACCAGCTAGGTTTTCTTTCTAAATATTATATGATAAAAGTATCTGTCTCTTTTTGGCTCTCTGAGCAGCACCATGGTTGTTGGCAAGAATAAGCCCCTTATGAAAGGTGGCACAAAGGGAGCCAAGAAGAAAGTGCTTGATCCATTTTCTCAGAAAGATTGGTATAATGTGAAAGCATCTGCCGTGTTCAATATAAGAAATATTGGGAAGACACAAGTCACCAGGACCCAAGGAACCATAATTGAATCTGATGGCCTCAAGGGTCATGTGTTTGAAGTGAGTCTTGCTGATTTGCAGAATGATAAAGTTGCATTTAGAAAATTCAAGCTGATTACTGAAGATGTTCAGGGCAATAATTGCCTGATTAGCGTCCCTGGCATGGATCTTACCCATGACAAAATGTGTTCCATGGTCAAGAAATGGCAGACAATGATTGAAGCTCATGTCAATATCAAGACGACTGGTGCTTACTTGCTTCATGTGTTCTGTGTTGGTTTTACTAAAAAATGCAACAATCGGATACGGAAGACCTCTTATGCTTAGCACCAACGGTTCAGCCAAATCCAGAACAAGATGATGGAAATCATGACCCAAGAGGTGCAGACAAATTACTTGAAAGAAGTGGTCAATAAATTGAGGATTGGAAAAGACATAGAAAAAATTCTTGCCAATCTTTCCTCTCCATGATGTCTTTGTTAGAAAGGTTAAAGTGCTGAAGAAGCCTAGCTTTGAATTGGGGAAACTCATGGAGCTTATTGTGAAGGTAGTAGCTCTGGAAAAGCCGCTGAGGATGAAACAGGTGCTAAAGTAGAACGAGCTGATGGATATGAACCACCAGTCCAAGAATCTGTTTAAAGTTCAGACTTATAATAGTGGCAAAAAAAAGTCATATTTGTGGGGGGAAAGAAGTATCTGTTAGTTTATAAATATGAAGGATCTTCAAAACATTCAAGGAAAATGCATATTATGAATAAACTATGCATGGATTTCATAATTTTTTTCACCAAAATAAACTCATACTGACTTGTAACATGCCTGAATGGAGTCTTATTTGAAGCACTACGAAGGATAACATGTCAGTTTATAAACTGCCTCTATCAGAGCGACATGAATTGTGCTAAAATTGAAGCAAGAACAAACATCGAATTTCTGGTGAACCTTGGGTGGAAGAATGATAAAATCGTTGATGCCTTCTAAAAAGCTTATGGGCAATGTCATAAAGAAATCTGCAGTTTACAAATGAATAGCTCATTTTAAGAACGGATGGGACGATTTTGAAGATGAAGGCTAAAGCAGCAAACTATCCATGTAGTTTTATTTTATTTTATTTTTTTATTTTTATTTTTTGAATCTGGGTCTCGCTTTGTCGTCCAGGCTGGAGTGCAGTGGTGTGATCTCGGCTCACTCACTGGACCTGAGCTCAAGTGATCCGCCTGACTCAGCCTCTCAAAGTGCTGGAATTACAGGCATGAGACACAGTGGTCAGGCAGCTTTTTAGAAATTAAGATAAAATCGGCCCTCTCTGGCTGTTTAAGGAAAAATATTTGGCCCAAGATCAGTGACAGTCCCTACTCCTTGCCAGGTGCCCAGTTAATACCTAGGCTATTTTATAAAGCTATTTTGTTGTTTAAAGTTTCACTCTTATTGCCCAGGCTGGCATGCAATGGCTTGATCTCAGCTTACTGCAACCTCCACCTCCCGGGTTCAAGCAATTCACCTGCCCCAGCCTTCTGAGTAGCTGGGATTACAAGTGCCCAACACCACACCCAGCTAATTTTTTGTATATTTAGTAGAGACGGTGTTTCACCAGGATGGTCTCAATCTCCTGACCTCGTGATCCACCCACCTTGGCCTCCCAAAGTGCTAGGATTATAGGCATGAGTCACCGCGCCTGGCCTGGCCTTGTTTGTTTGTTTGTTTGTTTGTTTTGAGACGGAGTCTTGCTCTGTTGCCCAGGCTGGAGTGCAGTGGCGCAATCTCGGCTCACTGCGAGCTCCACCTCCCAGGTTCACACCATTCTCCTGCCTCAGCCTCCCAAGTAGCTAGGACTACAAGCGCCCGCCACCACGCCCGGCCAATTTTTTTGTATTTTCAGTAGAGACGGGGTTTCACCGTGTTAGCCAGGATGTGTATTTTTTCTTTTTAGTAGAGATGGGGTTTCATCATATTGGCCAGGCTGGTCTTGAACTCCCGACCTCAGATGATCTGCCCTCCTCCGCCTCCCAAAGTGCTGGGATTATAGATGTGAGCCACTGTGCCTGGCCCACGCCCAGCCAGAATCAAAGAGTTTTAAGGAGAAGAGTGACATAATTAAACTTGCCCTTGAATGAGATCCCTCTAGATGCTGTTTGAACAATAGACTAAATGTAACCAAGAGTAGATTTAGCAAGAGGAGCCAACTATCCATGAGCACAATCCATGGAGGGGATAGTGGTGACTTAAATTATAAGGAGGGGTTTCATCTTTATCATCAGGCACACTGGAAATAGGACCAGGTTTGTAGAGTGGGGGATCACTAATTCACTTTGGATATATTGGTATTGAAATTCCTAAGGGAAATCTACATGGGAATGTCAGGTCAATAATAATGGGAATCTGGAACTTAAGAAATGGTCTAAGTGGTAATTATAGCTATGGATGATGATATGATGGTCTTAGAGATTAGATACAGACAAGAGAGCTAACAGAGGCCTGTGTGGTGGCTTACATCTGTAATCCCAGTACTTTGGGAGGCCAAGGCAGGTGGATCACTTGAGGTCAGGAGTTTGAGACCAGCCTGGCTAACACGGTGAAACTCTGTCTCTACTGAAAATACAAAAATTAGCCGGGCATGGTGGTGGGCACCTGTAATTCCAGCTACTCAAGTGCCTAAGGCAGGAGAATTGCTTGAACCTGTGAGGCCGAGGGTGCAGTGAGCTGAGATTGCACCACTGTACCCCCGCCACCACACACACACACACACAAAATAAGGTAGGAGAGGGAGTTAATCTTGACCACCAATAGGAACATATCTGATAGGTAATTCCCCCTGTATCTGATATGCACGTTCATTCTAATGAAATAATTAGAAAGTCAGGATTTTACAATATGAATAATAAGCCTGCAATAGTAAAATAATACTAATAGGGCCAGGCACAGTGGCTCACACCTGTAATCCCAGCACTTTGGGAGGCCGAGGCGGGTGGATAACTTAAGGTCAGGAGTTCAAGACCACCATGGCCAACATGGTGAAACCCCGTCTGTACTAAAAATGAAAAAAAGTATCCAGGCATGCTGGCACATGCTTGTAATTCCAGCTACTTAGGAGGCTGAGGCAGGAGAATTGCTTGAACCTGGGAGGTGGAGGATGCAGTGAACCGAGATTGTGCTGCTGCACTCGCACTCCGGCCTGGGCGACAGAGTGAAACTCCATCTCAAAAAACTAAAAAATGAAAAATAATCACAGTGGGGCCGGGCGCGGTGGCCCAAGCCTGTAATCCCAGCACTTTGGGAGGCCGAGACAGGCGGATCACGAGGTCAGGAGATCGAGACCATCCTGGCTAACCCGGTGAAACCCCGTCTCTACTAAAAAATACAAAAAACTAGCTGGGCGAAGTGGCGGGCGCCTGTAGTCCCAGCTACACGGGAGACTGAGGCAGGAGAATGGTGTAAACCTGGGAGGCGGAGCTTGCAGTGAGCTGAGATCCAGCTACTGCACTCCAGCCCGGGCGACAGAGCGAGACTCCGTCTCAAAAAAAAAAAAAAAAAAAAAGAAAAATAATCACAGTGAACTGTACAAGCTATGAGTTGCTTCTAGTTGTCTACTTTATTTCAGTGCTTCTACAGAATAAATGAGGTAATTTGAGTTGACCTGTTCCTCAGTAGGACTTGTGACTCTGTGTGGTCCATAACAGAATAAATATTATTACAAAATAGAATAAAGTGATGTGAGACTATTGAAGAATTTAAACCTGATGCTGCATACAAAAAGTATAGAATTTACATGTGACTTTTGCAGTGTTCATATCAATAGCAGTACACAACTGTTAACATTTCTCTGCATTATTCCACTGGTAGTAAAACGGGGTTACCCACCCCACTGGATACTTCCAATGATTGAAGACATAAATAGAATTGTTTTAATGGGTATTTAAATCATAATTCTAAAGTTTCTCCCAAATAAATATAATAATTAGTGTGAGAGTTTAGCTAGGGCATGTTTTTAAAGTAAGGTCATGACTTTCCTGGTTTTTTGTTTTGTTTTGTTTTTGTTTTTGTTTTTTGAGACAGAGTCTGCCTCTTTTTCCCAGGCTGGAGTGCAATGCCATGATCTCGGCTCACTGCAATCTCCACCTCTCAGATTCAATAGATTCTCCTGCCTCAGCATCCCAAATATCTGGGACTACAGGAACATGCCACCACACCTTGCTAATTTTTGTATTTTTAGTAAAGGCTGGGTTTCACCATGTTGGCCAGGCTGGTCTTGAACTTCTGACCTCAGGTGATTCGCCCACTTCAGCCTCCCAAAGTGCCGGGATTACAGGCATGAGCCACTGTGCCCAGCTGACTTTCTTGGTTTTTAAACTACAATGGGTAGGATAAAAGTAGCCTGATTAACAGACAAATCTGTGAATGGATCCTATGAATTTTTTTGTATAATCAAGTCAATATAAATCAATAGGAAACCAAAATGATTATGAGTCACACTTTACGGTTGCTAAGATTGAGGGTTGTCAGAAACCACTAAATAATTGAACTGTTGTGTCTAAATTATTGTATAATTTTGACTTTTATAATAATTTGATGCATACCAAAGGTTAATTGATTCATATAATGGTCTCCTTTCTGTGTTGATGGCATCTCCTTCCACCAAATCTCACATGAGCACATGAGGCAAAAGCCTCACTCACACTTTTTAGTCCATGTTCTCTATACTTTGTTTTTTTTTTAGACAAGATCTGGCCCTGTCACCCAGGCTGGAATGCAGTGGTATGATCTCATCTCACTGCCACTTCTGCCTCCCAGGTTCAAGCAACCTTCCCATCTCAGCCTCCCAAGTAGCTGGGACTACAAGTAGGCTCCATCACGACTGGCTAATTTTTTTTACTTCTTGGAGAGGTGTGGGGTTTCACCAAGTTCCCCAGACTGGTCTCAAATTCTTGAGCTCAAGTGATCTACCCACCTTGGCCTCTCACAATGTTGGAATTACAGGCGTTAGCCACCACGCCTGGCCCTCTATACCCTTCCAATTGATTTCCTAAGAGGTGACTGTTCCTTTACCAGATATCTAAGTTGATGCAGAATATAATCATTTCTGAAACACTTTCAGTATTCTTTCAAGTATCTGTGTTTCCAAAGGCTCCCTTCTCTGTTTCATTTCTCATACTGTCATCATGGATTTTTTTAATAGAGACTTTTGTGATAGTTTTCCTTTGAAAAAACCTGACGTCTCTATCAGTAGCAATCCAGATTTCTTGAGTGTTAATGGTCCTCATAGTCCTTCCAAGTCTTCTTCAATTTGTAGTTATTGTAGTGTAGAAAAGAGAACTGTAGACAACCACTTGCCCACTTACTTCCTTTGATCTGCAGGCATTTACTAAACCTCTCAGTTATCCTGACCTTGCTCTTTTGTAGAGATCATGCATAATATTCCTATTTCATGGTCCATAAGGACATGTGCTTAATTCATAAAGACATATGGATTCCATTTGAAACAGTATGTCACACAAAGTATGTGTTTTATATATGTACTCTCTCTTCTCGTTATAGAAAATTGTTAACATTGTAACCAAATTACTTGCCATTTCCCCTTGCCAGCAGGAACGTTGTTTTCATTTATTCCAAATGCCCAATGCTATTGAATAAATATAAATATTTATTTTTCACAACATGAACAGTATTGTAATTTATCTCTAACACTATTTAAATTTCTAGTTACAACAGAATTTTCATTTCAAAAGACTTCATTAAAACATAACAATGTCTAATAGTTTAGATGGAGAAAAGAAGCAATGCGATTTTCTGTGGTAGCTATTTCATCAGGGTAAGAATGAATTGTGCATTAACCACCATCACCCATGATTTATGGTTCAGTTGTACCTTAAACACACAAAGGTGCAATTATAAAATAACTAATGTATTATGTTTCCCTATAGGAAAAAAACCTTGAAGATAACTTACAGAGTTTGGCTACACGATTAGCTCCAATTTATAAGCAGTATGCTCCAGTAGCTTACCAAAATCAGGTATGTATTGGTATGAACTTTTTATTTATTTATTAATTTGAGATGGGGTCTTGCTTTGTTGCCCAGGCAGCAGTACAGTGACATGATCAAAGCTTACTGCAAACTCCTAAGCTCAAACTCCAGGCGATCCTCCTGCCTCATCCTCCAAAAATGCTGGGATTACAGATATGCCAGACTGTTTTATATTTTAAAAAGTCATTGTTAGCCGGGCTCATTAGCTCACGCCTCTAATCCCAGAAATTTTGGAGGCCAAGGCATTCGGATCACCTGAGATCAGGAGTTCGAGACTAGCCTGGCCCACATGGTGAAACCCCATCTCAACTAAAAATACCAGAAATTAGCCAGGCATGGTGATGTGCACCTGTAGTCCCAGGTAATCAAGAGGCTGAGGCAGGAGAATCACTTGAACCCAGGAGGCGGAGGTTGCATTGGGCTGAGATCATGCCACTGCACTCCAGCCTGGGTGACAGAGCGAAACTGTCTTTAAAAAAAAAAAAAGGTCATTGTTAATAGAAAAATTTTCAAATTTGAACAAATATATACATACATAGCATATATATCTAACATACATATATATAATGGACTTATTGATCTACTCTTTTTTTTTTTTTTTTTTTTTTTGACACAGAGTCTTGCTCTTATTGCCCAGGCTGGAGTCAGCCTCTTGGCTCACTGCAACCTCCGCTTCCCAGTGGGTTCAAGCAGTTCTCCTGCCTCAGCCTCCCGAGTAACTGGGACTACAGGCATGCGCCACCTGGCTAATTTTTGTATTTTTAGTAGAGATGGGGTTTCACCATGTTTCCCAGGCTGGTCTCAAACTCCTGGCCTCAAGTCATCTGCCGGCCTCAAGTGATCTGCCCGCCTCAGCCTCCCAAACTGCTGGGATTACAGGCGTGAGCTACCCCGCCCAGCCTCTACCTTTTCATTTTAAAAGGAGTTACAAATTAACTTTCTAGAATAGTTCATGAAATGTGTGTGTATCTTCTTTTTATGGATATTGAAAACTCTGTGTATATGATTAATGCGCTTTTATTGGTCTTTCTTTTTTTTTTTCTTCTTTCTTTTTTTTTTTTTTTAGACGGAGTCTCGCTCTGTCACCCAGGCTGGAGTGCAGTGGCGCGATCTTGGCTCACCGCAAGCTCTGCCTCCCGGGTTCACACCATTCTCCTATCTCGGCCTCTCCTGAGTAGCTGGGACTACAGGTGCCCGCCACCACGCCCGGCTAATTTTTTGTATTTTGTTTAGTAGAGATGGGGTTTCACCGTGTTAGCCAGGATGGTCTCAATCTCCTGACCTCATGATCTGCCTGCCTTGGCCTCCCAAAATGCCGGGATTACAGGCGTGAGCCACTGTGCCCGGCCTTATTGGTCTTTCCTTCTAATGGAATGATTGAGTCTGTTTTACTTGCTTTTTCATCTCCAACAACAATTAGTATCCTCACCCTGCCTTCCCTTGTAAAGTCATTGATTTTCCTTTTACTCCGTGTATTGTCAAGTGCTTTATCCTGAATGTTGCTAAACTACACCTTCACGACAATAATACACTTAGTCTCAGAAATTACAAAGTATAATTAATTAGAAACTTTGTGAGGAAATTATTTTTACTCTTACTCTTTACTGAAGGCAGGTGATTCCCTTCTCTCTCTTAAGATTGTGCTCCATGCTTTCTTTTCTAGGTGGAATATGAAAATGTTGCCCGAGAATGTCGGCTTGGCAGTAAGGAAGGTCGTCCCTTCTCTGGGGTCACTGCTTGCCTGGACTTCTGTGCTCATCCCCACAGGGACATTCACAACATGAATAATGGGAGCACTGTGGTATGTACCTGTGTGAATTTGTATTCTAAAAGCTCCATCACTATATGCTTAGGCTGCAGTCCTTAAGTATACTATGATGATTATTACTGTGAGAAATCTTAATTTATGTGCTATTAGAAATAAATAAAAAGAAAAAAAGTTAAAAAATAAGAAATAAGTGTATAGTGCAGGTCTTCATTAAATACATTATCTCTGTACTTCTAAAAAGTAACAGGACCAGCCTCAAACATTTTGTTGAAAGGCTATGTTATATATTTAATTGTGGTGTGTTTGCTGGGAGGCAGGAGTACTTTTTTTTTTTTTTTTTTTTTGAGATGGAGTCTCACTCTGTTGCCCGGGCTGGAGTACAGTGGCGCAATCTCAGCTCACTGCAACCTCTGCCTCCTGGGTTCACACCATTCTCCTGCTTTAGCCTCCCGAGTAGCTGGGACTACAGGCACTCACCACCATGCCCGGCCGATTTTTTGTATTTTTAGTAGAGACGGGATTTCACTGTGTTAGCCAGGATGGTCTTGTTCTCATAACCTCGTGATCCACCCACCTTGGTCTCCCAAAGTGCTGGGATTACAGGTGTGAGCCACCGCGACCAGCCAATTTTTTAAAGTAACAATTCTCTGCTATCAAACTAGTAGGTATGAAGTTGAGCAGGTTACTTAATATTTGCTTTTGCCATCTGCACTTCAGGGTTTTTGTGAGGCAACTATGCCAGTTATCATCAATATTTGCATTCAGGTGTGCCTACTATGTTTATAGTTACATAAATCATCACATGTCCATCGCCTGAAGTCAATTAAGAAATACGTAAATTAGGCAGAAGACCCAGTGGAAAATCTTGTAATAGTCTTTTTGTCTGTTTGCTTCACCTAATTATCTTCCTGTCATCTAGTAAAGCAAGATCGATAGAGAGCAACTGCTTTTGTTTTTCTGCTGCACCAGTGTTTTAGGTTTGCCAGATAATTCTGAAACCTTCATTAAGTCTTGGCTGCAGGATGAGCATGTTGGCTCACGTCTGTAATCCCACCTACTTAGGAGGCCAAGATAGGAGGATTGCTTGAGCCCCGGGAGTTCTAGACCAGCCTAGGCAATAAGACCCCGTCTCTTTAAAATATACAATTTAAAAAAAATTTTTTTTTTTTTTAGATTTAGCTATAACATCTTATAGTGTGATTGAAAGTATACGATTGGATCTATCAACAGGCAGTCTTTCTTCCTTGCTTGGTCTGTAGAAGAGTATTAGTGATAGATTAAGCCACAATAACCTTTTTTTTTTCTTTTTCCTTTTTTTTTTTTTGCATATCATTTCTGTATACAAAAATGTTTTGTAGATCTTTGAGACCAATGTTATTTCCAAGTGTTGAAGTTATGTAAATCCAGCCTGGTAAATATGAACCAGGCAGTGGTTCATCACCATCACTTGGCCGGGACATTTTACCTGAATTACAGAATATCTGTGATCAGGTTGAAGTCAGTTCAGAGTCAAGCTAAGTTTCAGTTTCTCCTCTCTGTGCCCTTTGACTTCCAGTGCCTGGATTACTCACGCAATGAGGGTCTTATTCAGAACTTGACATCACTCCAAATTCCCCCATCTTCAAACATGTGAACTCTTGAAATTCTACCACTCCCTCTCCCTTCACCCTGTTTTACCATACTTTCTTTCTTTCTTTTTCTTTTTTTTTTTTTTAATTGGTTTACTTTCTACTCCTGTGGTAACTATCCTTTCTAATTATGCTCCTTATGTCAACTCCTTATGTGCTTCTTAGTCTCTCTGTGGCCAATTAAATTGGTTCCAGTAAACATTTATTGATGTGACATTCTGATTTTCAGCATGACTATTATTAAGTATGAACAGATTACTACCATGACAGTTTAATATTGCAGGCTTTGGCCAGGCACCATGGCTCATGCCTTCATGCCTGTAATCCCAGCACTTTGGGATGCTGAGGTGGAAGGATTGCTTGAATCCAGGATCTTGAGTGTAGCCTGGGCAGCTTTGTGAGACCCTGTCTCTACAATTAAAAAAAAAAAAAATTAGCTATGCACGATGATACACACCTGTATTCCCAGCTACTCGAGAGACTGAGGCAGGAGAAACGCTCAAACCCAGGAGTTTGAGGCTGAAACATATATTTATATTTTAGACTTTGCTGAAAAATGTGACTATAGATATTTTTTTTTTAAAAAACTGAAATTTTTTAACCTTTAACTTTGCTTTACCTTGGTATCTATCAAGTTCTATCATGAATCCAAAAATGCTTTGGAAATCAAATCTGTTTATTTCATTTATCTCCAGTCTTTGCTATCATTGAAAGGTTTTATAGCTCCAGGATATGTGTTTTTAATATAAAATAAAGAAAACATTTGATAGGTTTCTGCTGGATTTTTAATATTTGAAAATTAATTTAGCTGGGCCTAGTGGCTCACACCTGTAATCCCAGCTCTCTGGGAGGCCGAGGTGGGCAGATCACTTAAGGAAAATTAATTACAATTAAAATAGTTTTATAATAAAATGTTAGTTTTTAAAGCAGAATATTAATATTAGGTATCAAAAGTCAGGAATCACTATAGTGTCTATAGTTCTGTATTTTCATTTCTCTATAATAAACATAACCTTTAATGTAAGCAGGAGGGCTAAAATAGGTTGCATTTAAGATTAAAAAATTGACTATTAATATTTCATATCCAAAGAAAGGCAAATTTATTGATATTTATTGATATGGCTCCTCACTGGAATAGAGCAACAATGGAACAGAAAATTAAAAACATTTTTTTAAACTGTTAGCATGTAAGTCTTTCTGGAAAGAGAAATCAGTTATGTCCCCACTATCCAAGGAATGTGACATTCTTGAAATACTGGAAATAGGGTGCTCTGTGAGCTAAAATCGTATCTTCCTAATAAGTTATAGTTAATATGGGCCGGGCACGGTAGCTCATGCCTGTAATCCCAGCACTTTGGGAGGCCGAGATGGGCGGATCACGAGGTCAGGAGATCGAGACCATCCTGACTAACACGGTGAAACCCCGTCTCTACTAAAAACACACAAAAAAATTAGCCGGGCGCGGTGGCGGGTGCCTGTAGTCCCAGCCACACGGGAGGCTGAGGCAGGAGAATGGCGTGAACCCGGGAGGCGAAGCTTGCAGTGAGTGGAGATCGATCCACTGCACTCCAGCCTGGGAGACAGAGCAAGACTCCGTCTCAAAAAAAAAAAAAAGTTAATATGAACACAATAAACACAGTTCAATAGCCATTCCTTAATTTAGGCAATGAAGTAAGATGAAATGTAACAAGAATGTTTAATATAAAAAATAGGTAAGTATTTTGTAATATTATAATTTACTTAGAAAATTAACTAAATATTACTCTGATCTGCCTACAAACAGCTGGGAAGTTACTATGATTGAACAGGGTTGGGTGGCTTGATATAAAATAATAATATACCATCATCAACCAACTGAATATAAAATGGGAATACAAATCTCTTTCCCAAAGGTAACAAAACGAAGGTAGGAATAGCCACAATGAACGTGCATGGCCCCTATATCTTTCCCCTTTCATGTTTTTCTCCCTATCAGGTGTGTACTTTAACTCGAGAAGATAACCGCTCTTTGGGCGTTATTCCTCAAGATGAGCAGCTCCATGTGCTACCTCTTTATAAGCTTTCAGACACAGATGAGTTTGGCTCCAAGGAGGGAATGGAAGCCAAGATCAAATCTGGGGCCATCGAGGTCCTGGCACCCCGCCGCAAAAAAAGAACGTGTTTCACTCAGCCTGTTCCCCGTTCTGGGAAGAAGAGGGCTGCGATGATGACGGAGGTTCTTGCGCATAAGATAAGGGCAGTGGAGAAGAAACCTATTCCCCGAGTCAAGCGGAAGAATAACTCAACAACAACAAACAACAGTAAGGCTTCGCCACTGCCAGCCTTAGGTGAGCCTTGTGGAACCTGCTAATCTCTGCACAACTTTGATGGATAGAAGTGTTTGGATTTTGCCTTGCACATTATTTGTTTAGAGTTGAAACTAAGACACTGAATATGTTTTTACATATGCCAGAACCAAAAGTCAACAAAAAAGTGACCCATCAGTATTTCTTGGTAATTTTTTCTACTTATCCTTTTTTAAACTTTCACATATTATTTTTTATGGCATTGGGAAGGGTCTCACTTTATTGCCCAGGCTGGCTTGGCACACCTTGGCTTAAGCAATAATCCCACCTCAGCCTCCTCCAGAGTAGCTGGAACTGCAGGCACACACCACTGTGTCCAGCTAATTTTAACATGTTCTTATCATTTTTCCTGTGAATTTCCCCATCTAATTTGAAGCCCTGCTCATTGTTGTTGGCATAGATAGGAGACATGACTTTCTGGGTGCCGTCCTTGATCACCTTTACCCTCAATTTAAGCAATAATTAAACAAATATTACTAAACGCCACTTTCAACAGTGGTATTGTGGGTTGTTGTTGTTGCTGCTGTTTTTGTTTTTTTTGTTGTTGTTGTTTTGGGTTTTTGTTTTGTTTTGTTTTGTTTTTTTTGAGACGGAGTCTTGCTGGGTCGCCCAGGTTGGAGTGCAGTGGCCTGATATCAGCTCACTGCGAGCTCAGCCTCCCGAGTAGCTGGGACTATAGGCGCCCGCCAAATTTTTTGTATTTTTTAGTAGAGACGGGGTTTTACCAGGTTAGCCAGGATGGTCTCCATCTCCTGACCTCATGATCCGCCCGCCTCGGCCTCCCAAAGTGCTGGGATTACAGGCTTGAGCCACCGCGCCCGGCCAATTGTTTTGTTTTTGTTTGTGGAGACAAGGTCTTGCTCTGTAGCCCAGGCGTGATCTTTGTTCACCACAGCCTGAACCTTCCAGGCTCAAGCAGTCCTCCCACCTCAGCCTCCCAAGTAGCTGAGACTGTAGTGCGTGTGCCACTGTGCCTAGCTAATTATTGTATTTTTTATAGAGATAGAGTTTCACCTGTTTCCCAGGCTGATCTGGAACTCCTGGACTCACATGATCCTCCCAAATTGGTGTAATTACAGGCATGAGCCATCACGCCTGGCTTGATTTGTTGATTATAAAGTCTCATTAGTTTTGGTTTTGGATTTTGGGGTTTTTTTTTTTTGAGAGACAGAGTCTTGCTATGTTGCCAAAGCTGGAACACAATGGCTATTCACAGACACAATCATAGCACAATGCTGCCTCAAACTCCTGGGATCCCATGGGAACCTCTCTATTAGCTAGAAGTATAGGTGTGCACCACACCCGGCTCTTATCAGCTTTTCACCTAATATATATTTTGAGACGGAGTTTCACTCTGTCACCCAGGCTGGAGTGCAGTGGTACCATCTCGGCTCACTGCAACCTCTACCTCCTTGATTTAGGTGATTCTCCTTCCTCAGCCTCCCGAGTAGCTGGGAGTACAGGTGCCCGCCACCATGCCCAGCTAATTTTTGTATTTTTAGTTGAGATGGGGTTTCACCATGTTGGCCAGTCAGGTCTTAAACGCCTGACCTCAAGTGATCCACCCACCTCGGGCTCCCAAAGTGGTGAGATTACAGGTGTGAGCCACCACGCCAGGCCGGCTTCTCAGTTCTTTTGCCACAATCTCAATTGTCTTTGATAGCTTTCTTAACTTCTGTAACAAGTTGTTCCAGGCTCATCTATATAATTCTGCCCCATATTTAAAATCAGCCGTTTCTTTGATGAGCCTATAGAAGGAACAAAAAAAACATGAATTCATACTGACATTCAAAATTAACATTATAATGTATTCCTTAGCTTCTTTCATTTTTACATTTATGAGTAGTTGTTTATTTGTTTTTATAACATGTGCAGAGTTAGCAGTGCAGGCATTTATATAATGCTGAAAGAAATGTAATACAGACAAATACTGAGAAGAAATGTATAGTCCCAGATATTTGTAACCATAATGTGCAATACTTGGGCCATAATGTCCGTTTCTTTTGTAATTCTACCCCTCGGTCATTTAGTCTTTCCTTCCCATCATTTACCTTCTGTGGACTTCTTAACCTCTATAGTAATAGTGCCACTGATAACAGCAGAGGTTTCCTGATGTGCCATTGCTGGATCTTATATATGCATTATCTTTAGAAGTCAGAGCTCTCATGGCTCCAGGTTGTAGCATCTGAGAGGAGAACTGCGGAACTTCTGAAATTGATCAATGTTTATTATATTATCAATGTATTATATTTTTAATTACTTTAAAACATGGCTGCTTTACGTTTTCTTGGTCCTAAGATTTGCTAGTTTTGCACTTCCAAATATTTTTTTTAGAAGTTCACAACAAGAGCCAGGCGTGGTGGCTCACGCCTGTAATCCCATCACTTTGGGAGGCAGAGGCGGGCAGATCACGAGGTCAGGAGTTCGAGACCATCCTGGTCAATGTGGTGAAACCCTGTCTCTACTAAAATACAAAAAATTAGCCAGGCAGGCATGGTGGAGATTGAGACTATTCTGGCCAACATGGGGAAACCCCGTCTGTACTAAAATACAAAAAATTAGCCAGGTGTGGCAGTGTGTGCTTATAGTCCCAGCTACTTGGGAAGCTGAGATAGGGGACCTGCTTGAACCCGGGAGGCAGAGATTGCAGTGAGCCGGGATCGCACCACTGCACTCTAGCCTGGGCGACAGATCGAGACTCCATCTCAAAAAAAAAAAAAAGAACTTCATAACAGGGAGAATGTCCCCAAGGAAAATATTCCCATTGGATGTGACATTTGTGTGGATGTGTCAGAGCAAATAACCCACAGTTGACATCTTGAGAGTAATGCTCTACTTCCTTAACGAGAAGGACACTAAGCTGAAATACTCTTGCTTTTGCGGGTCACAAAGATTTATGTTCAACTACAATGTTTTGCTTGACTTCTCTCTGCCTAATCTTGGACTTTGACAGTTATGATGGTTTTGTTACCTAGAAATATTTATAAACTATTACTTATTTTTACTTTTTAAAATGTAGGGTCATACTATGCCTTAAGTGTATCTAAATATCTCTTTGAATAGTTAAATATTGCTCTATATCATTGTATTATAATACCTGCACAATATTACAACATTTAGTTGTATTATTTACTTCCTACCAAATTAGGTCAATTCTAATATTTTACTATTTCAAACAATGACCAGCCATCCTTTTGGCTAGATTTTTGCACTTATTTGTGCCGCTTTCCCAAAGGAAGAGTCTTTTTTTTTTTTTTTTTTTTTTTTTGAGACGGAGTCTCGCTCTGTCGCCCAGGCTGGAGTGCACTGGCCGGATCTTGGCTCACTGCAAGCTCCGCCTCCTGGGTTCACGCCATTCTCCTGCCTCAGCCTCCCGAGTAGCTGGGACTACAGGCGCCCGACACCTCGCCCAGCTAGTTTTTTTGTATTTTTTAGTAGAGACGGGGTTTCACCGTGTTAGCCAGAATGGTCTCGATCTCCTGACCTCGTGATCCGCCCGTCTCGGCCTCCCAAAGTGCTGGGATTACAGGCTTGAGCCACCGCGCCCGGCCAGGAAGAGTTCTTTAAGGAAAATTACTAGATGAAAAAGTATACGAAACTACATAAAATTTTTAATTCGTGTTTGTGATTTGAAATGAGCAGAACAAAACCGACCAACACAACATCAGTGTTTTCTTATAAAATTCTCTGTACCTGTCTTTGAAAATACTTTTTAAAAGACAACCCCTACCAAAAGTAATTTGTATTTTTCTTCACGTTTGGTGTCCTTGTTTAGGGAGTAAAACTGAGACTGTGCAACCTGAAGTAAAAAGTGAAACCGAACCCCATTTTATCTTAAAAAGTTCAGACAACACTAAAACTTATTCGCTGATGCCATCCGCTCCTCATCCAGTGAAAGAGGCATCTCCAGTTTTCTCCTGGTCCCCGAAGACTGCTTCAGCCACACCAGCTCCGTTGAAGAATGATGCAGCAGCCTCGTGTGGGTTTTCAGAAAGAAGCAGCACTCCCCACTGTACAATGTCTTCGGGAAGACTCAGTGGTGCCAATGCAGCCGCTGTTGAAGGCCCTGGCATTTCACAGCTTGGCGAAGCTGCTCCTCTCCCCACCCTGTCTGCTCCTGTGATGGAGCCCCTCGTTAATTCTGAGCCTCCCACTGGTGTGACTGAGCCGCTAACGTCTCATCAGCCAAACCACCAGCCCTCCTTCCTCACCTCTCCTCAAGACCTTGACTCTTCTCCAATGGAAGAAGATGAGCAGCATTCTGAAGCAGATGAGCCTCCATCAGACGAACCCCTATCTGATGACCCCCTGTCACCTGCTGAGGAGAAGTTGCCCCACATTGATGAGTATTGGTCAGACAGTGAGCACATCTTTTTGGATGCAAATATTGGTGGGGTGGCCATCGCACCTGCTCACGGCTCGGTTTTGATTGAGTGTGCCCGGCGCGAGCTGCACGCTACCACTCCTGTTGAGCACCCCAACCGTAATCATCCAACCCGCCTCTCCCTTGTCTTTTACCAGCACAAAAACCTGAATAAGCCCCAACACGGTTTTGAACTAAACAAGATTAAGTTTGAGGCTAAAGAAGCTAAGAATAAGAAAATGAAGGCCTCAGAGCAAAAAGACCAGGCAGCTAATGAAGGTCCAGAACTGTCCTCTGAAGTAAATGAATTGAACCAAATTCCTTCTCATAAAGCATTAACATTAACCCATGACAATGTTGTCACCGTGTCCCCTTATGCTCTCACACACGTTGCGGGGCCCTATAACCATTGGGTCTGAAGGCTTTTCTCCCCCTCTTAATGCCTTTGCTAGTGCAGTGTATTTTTTCAAGGTGCTGTTAAAAGAAAGTCATGTTGTCGTTTACTATATCTTCATCTCACCCATTTCAAGTCTGAGGTAAAAAAATAATAATGATAACAAAACGGGGTGGGTATTCTTAACTGTGACTATATTTTGACAATTGGTAGAAGGTGCACATTTTAAGCAAAAATAAAAGTTTTATAGTTTTAAATACATAAAGAAATGTTTCAGTTAGGCATTAACCTTGATAGAATCACTCAGTTTGGTGCTTTAAATTAAGTCTGTTTACTATGAAACAAGAGTCATTTTTAGAGGATTTTAACAGGTTCATGTTTTATGATGTAAAATCAAGACACACAGTGTTAACTCTACACAGCTTCTGGTGCTTAACCACATCCACACAGTTAAAAATAAGCTGAATTATTATTTCATGGTGCCATCGTTCCAACATCTTCCAATCATTGCTAGAAAATTGGCATATTCCTTTGAAATAAACTTATGAAATGTTTTCTCTCTTAAAATATTTCTCCTGTGTAAAATACATCATTGTTGTTAGTAATGGTTGGAGGCTGTTCATAAATTGTAAATATATATTTTAAAAGCACTTTCTATTTTTAAAAGTAACTTGAAATAATATAGTATAAGAATCCTATTGTCTATTGTTTGTGCATATTTGCATACAAGAGAAATCATTTATCCTTGCTGTGTAGAGTTCCATCTTGTTAACTGCAGTATGTATTCTAATCATGTATATGGTTTGTGTTCTTTTACTGTGTCCTCTCACATTCAAGTATTAGCAACTTGCAGTATATAAAATAGTTAGATAATGAGAAGTTGTTAATTATCTCTAAAATTGGAATTAGGAAGCATATCACCAATATTAATTAACTTTTTTTTTTTTTAGAACTAGATAAGAGTGGTCTCTTCTTATTGAACAACCTCAATTTAGTTTCATCCCACCTTTCTTAGTATAATCCATGAGAGGTGTTTCCAAAAGGAGATGATGGTACAGGATAGGTTTCAGAAGAGTCAAATGCTTCTAATGTCTCAAGGTGATAAAGTACAAAAACTAAGTAGACAGATATTTTGTACTGAAGTCTGATACAGAATTAGGAAAAAACAAATTCTTGTTGAAATATTTTGAAAACAAATTCCCTACTATCATCACATGCCTCCCAACCCCAAGTCAAACAAGAGGAATGGTACTGTAAACATGGCTTTGTCCGTTAAGAGCTAATTCATTTGTTTATCTTAGCATACTAGATTTGGGAAAATGATAACTCATCTTTTCTGATAATTGCCTATGTTCTAGGTAACAGGAAAGTAGGCATTAAGTTTATTTTAGTCTTCCCATTTTCTTCCTATTACTTTATTGACTCATTTTATTGCAAAACAAAAAGGATTACCCGGACAACATGTTTCGAACAAGGAGAATTTTCAATGAAATACTTGATTCTGTTAAAATGCAGAGGTGCTATAACATTCAAAGTGTCAGATTCCTTGGGAATATGGAAAACCTAATGGTGCTTCTCCCTTGGAAATGCCATAGGAAGCCCACAACCGCTAACACTTACAATTTTGGTGCAAAAGTAAACAGTTCCAGCAGGCTCTCTAAAGAAAAACTCATTGTAACTTATTAAAATAATATATGGTGCAAAGTATCTGTTTTGAGCTTTTGACTAATCCAAGTAAAGGAATATGAAGGGATTGTAAATAACAAAATGTCCATTGATAGACCATCGTGTACAAGTAGATTTCTGCTTGTTGAATATGTAAAATAGGGTAATTCATTGACTTGTTTTAGTATTTTGTGTGCCTTAGATTTCTGTTTTAAGACATGTATATTTTTGTGAGCCTAAGGTTTCTTATATACATATAAGTATATAAATAAGTGATTGTTTATTGCTTCAGCTGCTTCAACAAGATATTTACTAGTATTAGACTATCAGGAATACACCCTTGCGAGATTATGTTTTAGATTTTAGGCCTTAGCTCCCACTAGAAATTATTTCTTCACCAGATTTAATGGATAAAGTTTTATGGCTCTTTATGCATCGACTCATCTACTCATTCTTCGAGTCTACACTTATTGAACGCCTGCAAAATCTAAATATCACTTTTATTTTTCTTTGAATCACCACCTATGACATAGTAAACTTGAAGAATAAAAACTGCCCTCAGAAATATTTTTAAAAGAAGTAACAAATTATCTTCAAGATAATCCATGGTAACGTATGCAGTAATTCAAATTGATCTGTCTCTGAATAGATTTCTTAACAATCTAAACTTGAAACATCAATGTTAATTTTTGGAACTGTTGGGATTTGTGATGCTTGTTGCAGTTTACCAAAACAAGTATTTGAAAATATCTAGTATCAACTGAAATGTTTCCATTCCATTGTTGTAGTTAACATCATGAATGGACTTCCTAAGCTGATTACCCCACTGTGGGAACCAAATGGATTCCTACTTTGTTGGACTCTATTTCCTGATTTTAACAATTTACCATCCCATTCTCTGCCCTGTGATTTTTTAAAAGCTTATTCGATGTTCTGCAGCATTGTGATTGTATGCTGGCTACACCGCTTTTAGAATGCTCTTTCTCATGAAGCAAGGAAATAAATTTGTTTGAAATGACATTTTCTCTCATAAAACTGGTCATCTAACATTATTTCTACCCCTCTATTATGTTTTACTGTAATGATCACCTTTTCTTATACTTCTCTTATAACACTTAAATTGGATTTTAAATCTGTGTTTGTTCATAGTATGATCATTGAATTCGCTGATACATGACCTCATTAGCCCACTCAGTTCATAATATGCTACAAACTTACCAACTTTAATGAGAGAATAATTCCAATTCCTGCCTATTGCAGAATCCTACAAAATATCATGCTGTACTTGATATTCCTTTTTTTTTTTTTTTTTTTTTTGAGACAGAGTCTTGCTCTGTTGCCCAGGCTGGTCTCAAACTCTTGGCCCCAAGCGATCCTCCTGCTTCAGCCTCCTAAAGTGCAAGGATTATAGGCATGAGCCACTCTACCTGGCCTGAAATTCCATTTCTAATGGCTCTTGAGCCATTGTTGAAATTCCTTTTTTTTTCTTGTGCTTGTCAGTCTCACCTACCTCTTGTTTCCAATTCATCTACAAAGTACCAAATAGACCAGGTCATAAACATAATTGAAATACATTCTTACTGGAAAGTGAGGCTATCTGAAAAGGCATAGCTGTAGGCAAATTATTGCAACATGTTTACATCTTAAATAACATTCCAACATCTTTGTTATTCAGTCTGCATGTTGATAATTTCATTTATTAAATATAGAACTTCAACTAGATGAGATCCATAAGTAATTTACTTAAGACATAACCTCAATACATATTTAATTGAATACATACCCTGTGTAAATAAGCTACTGATTTAATTCACACGACTAACCTACTTTCTAACATTATTACAGTGGACTTCTACTGATACCATTTCACAATAGCATGTGTGAAAATAACCCTGGACCAGTTTTTAAAACAAAAATTATATTGACTTTTTATCTGGGACGTGGGACTTTATTGCATGAAACTTCCATTGACAGTGGGCATAGCATTTCCTTTGCATATGCCAACTAAATCAGTAGCTGTATGCGACCTTTAATAGATATATAGTTATTACCTTCAATTTCACACCTTGATGCATGGAAATCTTTTTTATCTATATTTAATACAACTGTGAGTTTTGATCTTTTATAGAGATTTATGTCAACAGAATTTTGAAATAAGTTCATATAGTAGTGGCCTTTCATAGCAATGGAAGACAGCTGAGAAATCACATAGTTGAATCACTGGGGCCCAGAGAGTAAATCTTAATGCTAGATTGTAATTAGAATTTAAACTGATGAAGGCCACTTTGTGTTGAGAACTGTAGGGAAACTTGATTTTCTTACCCAAAGGGTATTTTACCACTGGGAAATAAACAAGTATCAAATGCTTATGCTGTATAGACTTTCAATTCCCCTGAAACTAGTGTTAAGCATATACAAGAAGTTATAAAGGCGTGGATGATTGAAATAATTAAGGAAAGTATTTCCACTGTATATACGACCCAGCCATGCTTACAGAGTTCATTCATGCCCTTTGCCTAGTTAGCCTCACAATTAAGTCCCAGCATAGTTTATTTTGATGTAGCTGTCTACATGTATTGGAATACTATTTTATTGCACATAGCTCCTAAACGTGCCCATAAGTATATTGAACACCAGTTATGTGGCACACTCAACCAAGTGAATGTAATCAATACATAATTGCTGAAGGAGTCTGCATTTATCCAAATCAAATTATGCTCCATGTTGAGCTAAGTTTTAACAGCTTTAGAAAATGATGTCATCCATTGCTTTGGAATGCAATTCGGAAAGTCAGAGTCAGTATGTCCTTCATCAGAAATTAAATTTGTGTGTTTTCTTAGAATGTATTGAGATTTATTGGCATGTTCTTGCTTTTCCTATATATATAAAGTGGAAACTGAGTTCCTTTATTACTTCCTGAGATGGTAGAGCTGACTTTTATGCAGGATATCATCACTATATTTTTTTGCGCATTGATAGCTACAAATTTTATATTATTATTATTTTTTTTTTGCTACAAATTTTAATTTTCTACTTTTCAGTGTCTGGATGACTTTTTAATTCTCTGTTTCTTCTGGGCTTCCAATCAATCATATACCATTGTTTGCTTCAAAAGGGATATATTTTACTCAAGTAATCCAAAGATATTCCTAATTTTGCCACTCCTCATTTTCACTTCTCTTTAAGGGCCTATGTTCTAATTTCTCATTTGATAGTATGCAACATTTAATATTTCTAGCTCTAAAATTCCATCATTAATTATTTTTTTCTTTTCTTTCTTT